GTGAAGCTCTTCTTCTCTCAATCTTCTTCCCTCTCGTTGGTCTCTTCTCTCTCCTCCTCCTCCTGCAGGATGACCTTCGATGATTTCTGCCAGTATTTCACGGACCTGATCATGTGCCGCCTCATCAACACGTCGTACCTGAGCATCCACAAAACCTGGGAGGAGGAAGTGATGCGAGGATCCTGGGTCCACCGTCAGGATCCTCTGCGAAATCGATCAGGAGGATGCATCAACCACAAGGCCAGCTTCCTGCAGAGCCCCCAGGTCAGTGTTTACATCCTGTTCTGTAAGATAGAGTACTATTAACACAGCCTATTACTGCAGGTACAAGTCCTGCATTTAAAAAGGTAAAAGTATGTTAGTATGATCAGCAAAATGTCACCACATGTGTGACCCACTCTATCAAAATCTGCTGGATTTCGCAACGGTGCATTCTGAAATTAACTTGGATTTGTGTCAAAAACTCTAAATAGTTGTTGGTTGATTTCGAAACAAACAATATTTTGGCTTTCAGACAATGCTACTTTTATCGCAGTGTGTTTTTTGACTCAATTTCTAATCTAGCCCCTTAATCTTGATCTCTAAATGCACCAGATTAAAGCTCTAAACTTCAAAGTGAAACATTTGGATCTAAAAAAAGAATTGTAATTATTCCTGTTTTAGTGTTATATTTCAATACATACTGCAAAAACAAGTAATATTGCAAAGTCCGTATTTTTCTTATATTATGCAGCCCTCATTTGTACATTTAGCACAACATGACATTGTGAAATTAAAGAAATAAATCTATTATTAATAAACATCAACATAAATAATCTCAATATTGATCCAAATGTAATTGTGGCTTTACGATAAGGTGTACTTAAAGGTGGGGTATGTAATTTATTTCAGAAACACTTTTTGTTATATTCCATGGAATGCTCTTAACATCCCGATAGCAATGAATATATGAAATGCTTTGACAATAAATACATACAAAAATGTCATCTGTGGAAGCCGTAGCGCTGTAAAAAGCACGACCAATCATCTGAGCCGGCCCGGCTAAAATAACTGGATGGCCTACCTGCCTGTCAGCCTTCCATCTCGTGCACAAACTTATCTCGTGCCCTCATTGGTCATGTGCGCGTTCGTGTGTGTTGGAGGAGGGGCTCTGTAAGGAAGTCTGAAGGAAGAGGCAGATTTTTTCCGGTTGTGTATTTTCAAATTCTAGCGCACTCGAGCTGGTTTCTCCAAAATTACCTACCCCACCTTTAATGAGTACACTTGAATTTTCTTTTTAGTTTTCTTCGGCAAGACTGCAAAGGAAGAGATGATTTTAAATGATTTTTTTTAAAGTGATGGAAGTATTTTGATATTTGAAAAAGTGTGTTTATGTTGTAATTAATTATAGTTTAATGTAACTATTGCCTTATGCCCCTGGATACCTCCACCCATCTATGTGTGTGTTATATATAGAAACATGTGATATTGTATCTCTTCTCAGTACGTGTTCGATGTGAAGAAGCTGGAGGACGAGGTTCTGATCTGCTTACAGCAAAAAGAGAAGAGAGCCACCCCCAAAGAGGGGAAAGGGGAAAACCTGGCCATAGGATTCGATATTCACCGGGTAGGAACACACACTCTGTAAACACCAATAAAAAACAACCAAACAAACCCCTCAGTAAGGCAAGTGTATTTATATAGCACCTTTCAACACAAGGCAATTCAAAGTGCGTTACAAAAATCAAAATACATTAAGAGCATCCAGCGACCTTGGGTCCCGTGAAAGGCGCTTTATAAATTCCATTTATTATTATTATTATTATTATTAAGAGCATAAAGAAATAGTGCAGCAGAAACATATTATAAAATAGCATTTAAAAACACTAATTTAAAAGCAAAGATAATAAAACATCAACAAACAATGACACAGGTACATGAATACAAGTTACAGTGCAGTGTGAGATGTGAATAGTTCAATTAAAAGCAGCGGCAAAAATTGGATTTAAAAGTAGTCAGAGTTGCAGCGGTATTTTGAAATCAATTCTTTGACAGACAGGAAGCCAGTGTAAAGACTTCAAATTCAAAGATTCAAAGATTCAAGATTCAAAGGTGTTATTGTCATATGCACAAAGCTACAGTGTAGAAATGGCAATGAAATTCTTCTGACCTGAGCTCCTCCAACAATGCAACATATATAATAAAATACAAAAATACAAAATAAAAAGTAGTGCAAAAAGTCTCTATACATGTCAATAGAAACTTCCGAACTGGAGTGATGTGATCCACTTTCTTCGTGTTAGTGAGGCGTTCTGAATTAACTGCAGCTTTTCTAACAGACTTTTTAGTGAGACCTGTAAAGACACCATTACCGTAGTTGAGTCTATTGAAGATAAAAGCATGGACGGTGAGTAACTCCTCCCCTTCCTGCTACAGGTGGAGCTGAACAGGAAGTACCGGATGCACTCGGCTCAGCAGAAAGTTGCCGGATCGATTTACATAAACTCCCGCTGCGTGTTCCTCAGGAAGGAGATGCAGGAGGGGCGATACGTCATCATCCCCACGACCTTCGACCCCGGGCAGCAGGGAGACTTCCTACTGAGGGTCTTCACTGACGTGCCTTCAGACTGCAAGTAAATCTGATGTCATATCACCTGACCACAAAGTACACATCCTTTACTCAAGTAGAAGTACAGATACTGGTGTTTAAAAATACTCTGGTAAAAGTAGAAGTACTGACTAAACTTCTTTACTCAAGTAAAAGTAAAGATGTTCCTTTACTTAAGTACATTTTTCTGGTATCAGTACTTTACTCCACTACTTATTTTTCTGACGACTTTTTACTTTTACTTCTTACATTTTGAACACAAATACCTGTACTTTCTACTTCTTACATTTTGAACACAAATACCTGTACTTTCTACTTCTTACATTTTGAACCCAAATACCTGTACTTTCTACTTCTTACATGTTGAACACAAATACCTGTACTTTCTACTTCTTACATTTCCCAAACAGGCTGGTTCCTTTAGTTTGAATGTGTGTTTGGTGGCGTGATCATTATTATTTAGAGTCATTGCGTGCCTATTGATTTGAACACGATCCGTGTATCCATCATTTCCTGGTCTCCTCTAAAGAAGAGGGACCAATGAAAACGTTGTCATGTTGCCGTTGTTCAGCATGGAAACATTCATTAGCTAACAATGACATTATTGTTCTATTAATATAAAGGGAGGTCAGGTACTCTTTAAAACAGCTGCTAGTTATGCTTTTTACTGAAGTACATTTCAAAGCCCATACTTCTTTACTTCTACTTTTACTTGAGAAAAGAAGTTTAGTCAGTACTTCTACTTTTACCAGAGTATTTTGAAACACGGGAGGCGTGTGGCTCAGTGGGTAGTGAGCTGGACTTCAAATCAGGGGGTAGCAAGTTTGAGTCCCGCTGTGTCTCTGAGCAAGACACTTCACCCCAAATTGCTCCTGTGGGGATTGTCCACAGTATTGAGTATGTAAGTCGCTTTGGATAAAGCGTCTAACAAGTAACATGTAATGTAATAATGTAATGAGTATCTGTACTTCTACTTGAGTAAAGGATGTGTGTACTTTTGCCCTCTCTGCCTTTAAGTCCAAATGTAGTACCATCTTAGTCCCAGGTAGAGTTTTCTGACCCTGTGGCCCCCCCAGAGAGCTGACTCTAGACGAGCCCCCTCAGACCTGCTGGACGGGGATGTGTGGATACCCTCAGCTCGTCACTCAGGTCCACGTGATGAACGCTGAGGGTCTGCAGGGCCAGGACAACAACGGAGGTACGATCCTTTATTCTTTATTAGGATCTCCATTAGCATCTCCATTAGCATTAGCAAGAGCGTTGGCTATTCTTCCTCGGGTCCTCACACACAGTCAAACCTACATTAAACAAAACAAAACAGCTCTTTTAGCCAATCAGTATCTTCTTCCCTCCTGATCCCACTGTGTGCTGCTTGTTGATGATCATGTTCCTGTTTTAAACTCCTGTTAACAGAGCTTCACCACCTCAATCCCAGCAAGGAAAGACTTCTGATCAAAGGCCGAGGTACCACAGCGCCCCCTGCTGGGACCCTTAGTTTTACTGCATTAGATAAAGCCTGCAGGAAACAGCCATCACCTGTAGAGAGAAACTGCCCCTCACCTGTAGAGAGAAACTGCCCCTCACCTGTAGAGAGAAACAGAGAAACAGAGAAACAGCTTTAAAGTCACTATGTGCAGGTTTTTCATGTTATTATTGTCCAAGTATTTTTTTGTTGTTGATTTGATTCGATTTGATTTATTTCGAACGTGTAAAACAATAATACAAATAATAATAATGATAATAATGAAATGAAAAAAGAGAATTATGATACTGTACAAACGTAAGCAGTATCAAATTGATAAACAAAAATATTATTGACTTACAAATTATATATGAACAAATGATCTAATTACACATCCGATTAGAAATGAGACCTCAATGTGACACAGTGGCTTTAATATTAGTTTTAGTAGTTATAACAAAAACCTCCTTCTGTTATATGATTATATATATATATATTATTATTATTATTATGATTAACTACACAAACTTCACACTAGTTTCGATGAGTTCTGTCTCATTAAGGCTCCGTTTGGACTGGATTGTGTTCACTTAAACCTAAAAAAAAGCTGAAGAAATGCAACATTTTAACTTTTTTCGTCCCTCGTAAACTTTGGAAATGTGTTTTTTGTTTTGAATTATGAAAATTAATTGAGTATCTTCAGGTTTGAAAAGAAACAAACAACATGTACCTTGGCCTGTGGGACATTATGACTGATTGTTCTTTATTTTATGATATTTTATAGATCAAACATTGATATAACTAATTAAAAGTTCATCTTAACTCTTGAGTCTTTCATCAGGCTGAATTCATACAGAAAACACTGAGGACCAAAACATCGTCTTAATTAAATTCAATTTTTTTAATCCCACAAAGACCTCTTGAAATTACGACCTTGAGATGTATTGATAAAAAAATAATTAAACCATGTTTTAAAAATGAATCTGTGCTTAATCAGCGCTTATAATCAGATATGGACATGCAGCAGATAAACGATGGTAATCACAGCGTCTGTATTTAAATGCTTTTTATCTCCTTTAGTTGTGGATCCGTACGTGATCATCACCTGTGAAGGAGAGAGGGTTCGATCGCCGGTTTATAAGGACACTCGCTGCCCAAACTTCGACATCAAAGGCCTGTTTTACCGCAAGAAACCCAAAGAAGGAATCCACATCGAGGTGAGCCGTCTCTCTGCATCTGAAGCACACGTTACATCTAGCTTTCATCCAAAACGACTTACAGTGGAGGAAATAAGTATTTGATCCATTGCAGATTTATTTAAAAGCACAACAATTGATACAAAATAAAAGTCTCTTCAAAAACTGTAAAAAAAAGTACACTCCCCCTGCCCCCACTGGACCTGGACTTTAACACACACACACACACACACACACACACACACACACACACACACACACACACACACACACACACACACACACACACACACACACACACACACACACTCAGACACTCACATCCAGCACCAGACACTTGTTACGCTGCTATGGACAGTCTTGCACTAATGTACATTTCTCAAAGATATTGAAGTGACTGTTATTTTGTATACACTTTGAAGTCTGACTCCTTTCCCTCTCTTCCAGATCTACAACAAGAACATGATCTTGGACACCTTCCTGGGTCAGGTGATCCTGTTCAGCGACCCGAACGAGCGCCAGGAGAATCAAACCCTCCACCTCCGAGACAAAGGCAGCCGTCAAGACAACGATCTGCCGGGAACGCTCACTGTGCGCCTCATCACCTCCACGGCGCTCACAAACATCTGACAAACCGCCATCTTTCATCTGAATCCAACATTTATCAAACATCTGACAAACTGCCATCTTTTATCTGGATCCAACATCAATCAAACATCTGACTAACCGCCATCTTTCATCTGAATCCAACATCAATCCAACATCCGACTAACCGCCATCTTTGATCTGGATCCAACATCAATCCAACATCTGACAAACCGCCATCTTTCATCTGAATCCAACATTAATCCAACATCTGACAAACCGCCATCTTTCATCTGAATCCAACATCAATCCAACATCCGACTAACCGCCATCTTTGATCTGGATCCAACATCAATCCAACATCTGACAAACCGCCATCTTTTATCTGAATCCAACATCAATCCAACATCTGACAAACCGCCATCTTTTATCTGAATCCAACATCAATCCAACATCTGACAAACCGCCATCTTTTATCTGAATCCAACATCAATCCAACATCTGACAAACCGCCATCTTTTATCTGAATCCAACATCAATCCAACATCTGACAAACCGCCATCTTTTATCTGAATCCAACGTCAATCCAACATCCGACAAACCGCCATCTTTTATCTAAATCCAACATCAATCCAACATCTGACAAACCGCCATCTTTTATCTAAATCCAACATCAATCCAACATCCGACAAACCGCCATCTTTTATCTGAATCCAACATCAATCCAACATCTGACAAACCGCCATCTTTTATCTAAATCCAACATCAATCCAACATCCGAAAAACCGCCATCTTTTATCTGAATCCAACATCTGACAAACTGCCATCTTTTATCTGAATCCAACATCTGACGCTCATCTGTTTCCATCAATCTACTCGGGCTGCGATCCTCCAAACATGGCGGGAGCTCACTGTGTCTATTCTTATTTGGTGTGAATGCTGAGAAAGCAAACACAACATTATGTTTTTCAACTTTTTTGAAAGTCTGCCTTCTTCTCCCACATTTTGCATCGCAGAAACTCTGTTGATACATCCTAACATTCAGCTCGATTAAGACATGCGCGCTATTACTTTGAACATCCATAATTCCCAGAAATATTACCCACAATTCATCAAAACGTAACTACAGAAGTCTTCACGTTTTTATGACACGTCTAAGCCAGCATTGCCGTTTAGCGTCATACAGCATTCACACCGCAATCTCTTCAGAATTGCATTCTCTTGTTTGGTGTGAATGCTGGGAAGCCTTCTCACCATATGTTCTTATACTGAGTTTGATTCGCTTCTTCTCCCAAATTCCTAATCGCAGTCAGGTTTCAGCATTCACACCGCAATTTCTTCCGTACATTTTATTGGGACCTTATCTTCTTCCACATTTTTCAACCCTTAAACTGCTCCTTCACACTTTCACTCCATTCAAACTTCAAAATGTTCCACGTCTTTCGGACATTATTCCCAACATTTAAATCAGATTTCAGCATTCACACCGCAATTTCTTCAGGAGTTGAATTCTCTAGCTTCTTTTTGCTTCTGGAGGGTTTTTGACGTCCGACACATATTTCTGGATGATAAGACAATGTTTAATATCTCTGAACACATTCCTGCCCCCACGTTCGCTTCAGAAATGTGTTCTTAAAGTCGAAATTTCCCCTCACACACACACACCTTTACATGCAGACGTGTGTGTGTGTGTTTCCATGCATGTGCCATTGTTTCCAAAGGGCTATGCATTGCCTTAAGGTTGAGTCTCCACCTTGAGGAGACGGAGGATAAAACACTTTCTCCATCCTCACAGTTAGCACAGCCTCCATTTTTTTGATTTTTTTGCTCCACAGTTTCACTTTCGTTTTGCCTCTTATTTTAAAACGTGGATTCTCGTCCCGCCCTCACCTCTTTCACCAGTTTGCCGGTGCTTTCCGAGAGCATGCAGCACTGTCTGTCACTTCTTATCTCCACAAAGGGAAGCCAACAGCAGCTCCTCTGTTGTTGTTGTTGTTGTTGTTGTTGTTGTTGTTGTTGTGTGAAATCCTGCCTCCTGTCTTCCTTCAGAGACACAAGACGCTTTCTGCCGGTTGCTATGGATGATCTAAAATAAACTGCATGGCTTTAAAAAGAAACTCTCTGCCTGTGCTGCACATTTGACCGGTCGTAGCTTAGTAGCCGGTGCTACTCTCCCCCCTTTTCCTCCCCCAATGTGTACACAACCCAGTGGAGTGCAAGGATATCACCCGGACATAATCAAGTGCTTTATGGGACTACTTTCTGAGTCCCTTTCAAACACACCCCTGTGCCACTTCATCTCTTAACGGCAACACCACTGCCTGGCGCTGACTGCAGTTTTCCGGCGAAGGAGAAACAGCAGCGGTGCTTCTGCTGTTGGCACAGAACAGGTGTGTGTGGTGTGGTGTTTGTGTGGTGTGTGTGTGTGTGTGTGTGTGTGTGTGTGTGTGTGTGTGTGTGTGTGTGTGTGTGTGTGTGTGTGTGTGTGTGTGTGTGTGTGTGTGTGTGTGTGTGTGTGTGTGTGTGTGTGTGTGTGTGTGTGTGTGTGTGTGTGTGTGTGTGTGTGTGTGTGTGTGTGTGTGTGTGTGTGTGTGTGTGTGTGTGTGTGTGTGTGTGTGTGTGTGTGTGTGTGTGTGTGTGTGTGCGCGCGCGCGTGCGTGCGTGTGCATGAATTGTTATTTTACCTGGAAGAAAAAAGGATCTGTGGAAGGAAAAAGGTGTGACCCCGAAATTGAACAACAGCCCTTTAGCGGAGCATACACCTTGCACTTTATTTAATTTAAATAAGGGGGATAAAGACCCTCGATGGATGGAATATAAAGAGGAGATGAAGGCGTTCTGCCAAACAAACCTGTGCCATCGCCTCCTTCACGAGAGGAAGTGTTGATTTCAGGAGGATTTCTGACGGCGTTTGCATCTTGAACCAACACGAATTAACTCTGGCATTCCTCCATCATGTGCTCAAACTCTTTTAGCACCTGGGTCTTTTTGTGACAGAAGCCCAGACTGAAAATCATGCGTTTTTAAATTTTCATTCCAAGTTTTATTGACTTCTTGGTAGTGTTGTATGGAGGCCGACAGGTGCTAACGCGCTACAACGAGCCACACTTCTTCCATGAGGAGAAAAACGCTGAAGCTTCAGAATAGATACAGATATAAAAACCCAAATGTTCCACATGAAGAAACATCTTCAGCAACAACACAGCAGCATTTAGAAAACATTCAGCAACTTGAGGAAACATGCGCAGCGTTTACTAAAAGCTGCAGAAACCAAAAGCTGCAGAAGCTCAAGACACAACGGAGACCAGGGGACACTAAAGAGTGACGCACACAGCTGGGAGACCAGGGGACACTAAAGAGTGACGCACACAGCTGGGAGACCAGGGGACACTAAAGAGTGACGCACACAGCTGGGAGACCAGGGGACACTAAAGAGTGACGCACACAGCTGGGAGACCAGGGGACACTAAAGAGTGACGCACACAGCTGGGAGACCAGGGGACGCTAAAGAGTGACGCACACAGCTGGGAGACCAGGGGACACTAAAGAGTGACGCACACAGCTGGGAGACCAGGGGACGCTACAGAGTGACGCACACAGCTGGGAGACCAGGGGACGCTACAGAGTGACGCATACAGCTGGGAGACCAGGGGACACTAAAGAGTGACGCACACAGCTGGGAGACGAGGGGACACTAAAGAGTGACGCACACAGCTGGGAGACCAGGGGACACTAAAGAGTGACGCACACAGCCGGGAGACCAGGGGACACTAAAGAGTGACGCACACAGCTGGGAGACCAAGGGACGCTACAGAGTGACGCACACAGCTGGGAGACCAGGGGACACTAAAGAGTGACACACACAGCTGGGAGACCAGGGGACGCTACAGAGTGACGCACACAGCTGGGAGACCAGGGGACACTAAAGAGTGACACGCACAACTGACACTAAAAAGCTGTGTGCGTCACTCTTTAGTGTCCCCTGGTCTCCGTTGTGTCTTGAGCTTCATGCAGCGTTTGGTTTCTGCAGCTTTTAGTAAACGCTGCCCATGTTTCCTCAGCTTGCTGAAGATGTTTCTTCGTGTGGAACATTTGTGTTTTTATATCTGCATCTTCTTGAAGCTGTAGCGTTGACCTCCTAAAGGAAGTGTGTTGGGACGCTGTAGCGCATTTTGAACCTGTCAGCCACCGTAGATTTTGTCATTATCGAGACATTTCCTTTTGAATGTAGTGGACGAATCTCTCAAATTATCGAAGTCCGTTTTTCATTTCTTCAGCGCCTTTTACATTACTTGAACTGTCACACATGGCATTTAACGGATCATTGATCACGACCTTCTTTGTTACTTTTATAAATGTGTCTTGCATGGGTTCTTTTCCAATACGTTCATGGCCTTGTATTGTACTGTTCAACTGTTACTATATATATTCTTTCTCTCTCTCAAGAGTCTTGGACATGCTAGTTTTGAGCAGTGAGCATGAACACTAATGCACCTCTGATCATATCAACAGGTTTGAAATGTCTTGTGATGATCATAATGCCTCTAGTTGACTCCTCGTTAGGTGCTATTAATTACTTCTTATTGTTTGGGACAGATCGTGGGAAACAGTGTTAGAAAATGAAGTGCCAAGCAGTGTGAGTAACGTAGTAACTGTTGAAGTGTCTTTGAGCAAGGCACTAGTGGAGCGGCTGTCAGGTGTGAATGTCCCCATGTCAGTACTGTAGATATGTTGAAATTCATCTTGAAATAAGTGTGGGTTAATGGGTTGGAGGGAGAGGTTTCTGGTGCCAAAGGAGGAGGGGGCTGTGTGGATTTGGTGAAGTTTGTTCCTCTAGTGTTTTACCTTTTGAAGTTATTTCAAATTAATTCAAACAAAGGTAAGAAAAAGTTTCATTTGGCACAAAAAAATACATTTTAAAAAAGCCCAGGAAGCTCAGGATGAGGTTCATTTTTCAAAATAAAAGCCCCAACCCAGAGAGTAATTATCCTTTTTTCAGGAAAGCTCAGGACAGAGCCTGTTTTTCACAATAAAAGCCCCATAAAGTATCTTAATCCTTGTAGGAAGCTCAGGATTAGGCTCATTTTCAAAATAAAAGCCCAAGACTGTAAAATATGCCCTTACAGGAAAGCTCAGGGCAGGGCCTGTTTTTCAAAAATAAAAGCCTCAGAAAGTATTTAATCCTAGCAGGAAGCTCAGGATTGGGCTTTGTTTTCAAAATAAAAGCCCCACACTGTAAATATCCTTACAGGAAAGCTCAGGACCGAGGCTGTTTTTCAAAATAAAAGCCCCAGAATTACCAAAATCCGAGCAAGAAGCTCAGGGTTAGGCACATTTTTTCAAAATAAAAGCCCAAGATAGTAAACATATTTTCAGGAACTATGAGGACAGAGACTGTTTTTCAAAATAAAAGCCCAATCAAAGTATCTACAAATCATATCAGGAAACTCAGGATTAGGCACATTTTTCAAAATAAAAGCCTCAGACAGTAAATATCCTTTCAGGAAAGCTCAGGACAGAGCCTGTTTTTCAAAATAAAAGCCCCCGAAAGTATCTTAATCCTTGTAGAAAGCTCAGGATTAGGCTCATTTTTCAAAATAAAAGACCCAGACGTGTTGCAAGAAGAGGAAAGTGGATATGTCATAGGATTTCTTTTTAATTCTTCAACAGACCAAATGTGTTTTCATCCAGATGGTTAGAAGAGTCTTGGAGGACATTGGATTTTTATTTACAGTAACAAAACTGATGATTATCTGTGTAAAAGTAAAGCAATAGAGGCTCAAACTGGCTTCAACTGAACACACACAGTCACACATTCAAACCCTGATTACCAACATATTCCACCGGTCTGTTTGGAGATACCAGTATTTTACATTTACTGGTTTCCTGCTGAGACCACTGGTGTGATTCCTGTATATTGTTATGTGTGTGGATGTGGAAATGTAACAGCTCGCTCACAGCCTGACAGCTTCGATAAACGGGGCGTCACTCGCAATCCTGCAGTATTACAACGAGAAAATAGTGAAATTGAAATCTGATGCAGTGCCAAACAGACAGACGGGAAAAGGACGCTTTTTAAAGAGTATTTTTTTTTTAAACTGGTGAATTTATCCTTCTTTATTTTGATTTCTGTCCTTTTTATTTGTTATGGAGTGATTCTCATTGGTCCCTCGTGTACTGTTACTGTTGCACATATGATTATTTGCCAAACAATGTTAAGGCTTTCACTGTTAACCACACACACTTCTACACACACACACACACACACACACTTTTACACACATACACACACACACACACACACACACACACACACTCTTGGTTGTGGAGTGTTTGGACCTTTTTCCTATAAAGCTTATGGGTTTTTTGTTTTTTCCGCGCGGCCAAAGCAGCTTTAGAGACACCCTTCGAATGAACTGTGGTGACTTTTTTTTATAATTAAAATAATGATAATAATGCCAGTGCATGTAGCAACAGCGCTTCAGACCTGCTCATTAAAATTACAGAAGATATACTTTAGTTTCCTTTTTTTCGTGGGGAGAAACTGATGCTACTTTGATAAACATACTGTGTGACGTAGGATGTGATGCATGCGTTAAAACGGTATCAAGTTTTCTAATATTTTGTACTCAGTGACATGCAGTATGGATATAAAAGTAGCAGCAACTTTTATTTTGGGATCCATGTTTCGATGGATAGAAGATTATAGAGATGTATTTACAGAGGAAAATGTGGATAACAGCCTTTAGTGAGAAGTTATTATTATTACTCCCATGATACCTTGCATTCATTATTGCCCAGAGGGTCTTTGGCTTTGTTTTCAAAATAAAAGCCCCATAAAGTAGCTGTCTACTTATAAGAAGCTGAGCACAAGGCTTGCTTTTCAAAATAAAAGCTCAGAAAGTAACTGTATCCTTACAGAAGCTCAGGACGAGGCCTACTTTTCAAAATAAAAGCCCCAAAAATAATCTAAATCCCAGCAGGAAGCTCATGATTAGGTTTTGTTTTCAAAATGATAGCCCCGTTAAGTAACTGTATTCTTACAGGAAGCTCAGGACAATGCATCTTTTCAAAATAAAACCCCCCATAAATCTTAATCCTAGCAAGGCTCAGGATTAGGCTTTGTTTTCAAAATAAAAGCCCCTTACAGTCAGTGGCGAGCCGGCAGGGCCCTCTAGGCCCTCTGTGAGGGCCTAAGATATTCTAAAAAATAATATTTAAAAACATTTAAAAAATATTTATTTTTTTTAAATATATATTTTTTTAATATTATTTTTGTTATATTTTTCATTAGTTTTACAGAAAAAAACCTTGATTTAATTGTATTTAAAATAACAT